TACACTGCTAAATTAGGGACTGCAAGCGCAGATAGCCCTCGTGTAGCTTTGCGCGAAATTCAAAAACAAACAAACAATTACCTGTTTGTTTGTTTATCGACAAAGCATACACATTGGCCTATCAACGCTGTGTTTATCGTAAAGAATCGAACCCTGTAATTGAGTGTTATAATTCCTCCAACTTAGCAATGAGTTGATGGGGAGGGCGGAAAGAGGATCCACACAGCGGTGGATGAAAGTTCGCCCTTTATTTAGATTTAGCCTCTACTTACAATCCTCTCATGTAAAAACTGAAATATTGGAACTGGTTTTTTTGAACTTGTGGAAGTGGAACTTACTACTACTTACACACTCTTACTACCACAACATTTTTATTTTTCCCACAATGTAGTTGTTGTTGTTGTTGTTATTGTTTTTATTATGAACAACTCTCCCCTTTTTTAGATCGAGCTCTCTGGAATGATGTATAAATGAACGTGTATGTAAGGATTTCAGTATCGGCGTTCTTCTCTTTCCTGCCTCTCGTTGATGGCTTATAACTCTAAAACTCGGGGTACGATACCCGTGGTTGGCATATCGCAGTTAGCCCATTGTACAGCTTAGCGCTTAAACAAAATCGAACAAAATAAACTTTTGATCCTCAAGATGATGGATGATAAAACCCAATAATATACATTAGTAAATACTGCAATCGCTATTTCATATTTTGTATTTATGGTCTATTTACTAAATGTTAAGCAACGTGTATTTGAATAGATAACCCATTTTCAACCTGTACATTCGCAAGCTTTGGTGTTTATGTTATGGCAAAGCTAATAAGGTTATCTGCATTTCTAATTTTGAACAACTGATCGGAGGGAAGGCAGCCATTCAACAGCACCCTATAACCCACCATCCATGCTAAATGATTGACAGACGGAAAAAGAGCAGTTTGTAATAAATGAACTGTTTCTAGTAATTGCATATAAAACGAAATTACGAGTTTAACCAGTTTAACCTCATTTATTAACGTATAAATGAACTGTTTCTAGTAATCGTAGATAAAACGAAAGTACGAGTTTAACCAGTTTAACCTCATTTGTTAACGTGATATTATTTCAATTTTCGTTTACGATTCACAAAGTGCTGACTCGTTTCTACCAAACAGAACTTTTTAAACACAGTGGTCAAAGTCACAAACAAGATAGTGTGATTCAAAAATTAATAGACCCATAATTACCCCCGGTTGTACTGATATATTTTGTGCAACCGTGAATTGCACATTATATCCTGTAAGGTCTTCCCGCTTGTATTTAGCGTATCATTTATTGTAATTATGTAGGTAATTATTTAACATTTACTTCAAAGTGACTATATAACAAAAACCTGACATTCTTACTCAGCTTCTAATGTATTCGCACTGTTGTTTTTAATAGCAAATAACTTTCATGCAAGAAGGTTTCCTGATCACACTGTCACATATTCACGTTACTGGTTATTAAAACCAATCTACAGATCACACTGTCACATATTCACGTTACTGGTTATTAAAACCAATCTACAGATCACACTGTCACATTTTCACGTTAGTGGTTATTAAAACCAATCTACAGATCACACTGTCACATTTTCACGTTACTGGTTATTAAAACCAATCTACAGATCACACTGTCACATTTTCACGTTACTGGTTATCATAACCAATCTACAGCTCACACTGTCACATCTTTGCGTTACTTATAATTTAAACCATTCTACAGATCACACTGTCACATCTTTACGTAATTAATCATCAAATCCATTCTACAGATCACACTGTCACATCTTCACGTTACTAATAATTTAAACCATTCTACAGATCACACTGTCACATCTTTACGTTATTAATCATTAAATCCATTCTACAGATCACACAGTCACATCTTTGCGTTACTAATCATTAAAACCATTCAACAGATCACACTCACATCTTTACGTTATTAGTCGTTAAAACCATTCAACAGATCACACTGTCACATCTTCACATTACTAATAATGTAAACCATTCTATAGATCACACTGTCACATCTTCACGTTACTAATAATTTAAACCATTCTACAGATCACACTGGGATGTGACAGTGTTATCTGTAGAATGGATTTAATGATTAGTAACGTAAAGATGTGACAGTGTGATCTGTAGAATGGATTTAATGATTAATAACGTAAAGATGTGATTTTATGTGACTGGTCATTAAAACCATTATATTAACTGTGATCAGAAATTAAGTTTAATTAGATGTTCTAACTTTACAAAACCTGTCAAACATGTTGGTTTATGATTACTATATTACAATAATATATATATAGGGCAATTTACTGTTGATCTACGGACACGTGACTATTAAATCTTTATTTGTAATGTAAATAGTATTACAAACTGATTGGTTATACACGATAATATTTTTGCTGGAATTCATATTTATGTTACCTATGAGTTACAGATCCAAATTTTAAACAACTACTTTAGGCTTCTGCTTCCTCTTGCAACATTTTACAGGGGGTTAATTTTCCTACCGCTAGGTGGTGCTTCAAGCAACGTTTTAAGAGAAGTTAGCATCCCCATTTGGAATAACGACGAATGTGACGAGACTTTTACACAAAATATTACTAAAGTGTTCCTTTGTGCTGGATCTAAGAATGGAGACAAGGATTCGTGTCAGGTAAGTTGTCATGGACAAATAAGTTGTATTACTAAAGTGTTCCTTTGTGCTGGATCTAAGAATGGAGACAAGGATTCGTGTCAGGTAAGTTGTCATGGACAAATAAGTTGTATTACTAAAGTGTTCCTTTGTGCTGGATCTAAGAATGGAGACAAGGATTCGTGTCAGGTAAGTTGTCATGGACAAATAAGTTGTATTACTAAAGTGTTCCTTTGTGCTGGATCTAAGAATGGAGACAAGGATTCGTGTCAGGTAAGTTGTCATGGACAAATAAGTTGTATTACTAAAGTGTTCCTTTGTGCTGGATCTAAGAATGGAGACAAGGATTCGTGTCAGGTAAGTTGTCATGGACAAATAAGTTGTTGTTTTGAGCATTAAAGTTGATCGTCAGCGTTAGAACGTCAAGATTGAAATTTGGCAACTCTGGTATCAAATAGAAAGCTGTCTCTCATGGTAAATAAAAGTCCTTGTTGCATAATTGTGCAACATGATGGTGGGTTAAAGGTTAATTATAAAGCGACGTTTCAGTTTGTGGCATTTGTTACGATATAGATCATTATCTCTCGAAATTAAAGTAAAAATCTTTTAACCCGTGTATTGCAATCTTTCCCCTAAAGCCAATATTTCGAGAAGAAAAAGACACTTTATCTTGCATCTTAATTGACAAAAAAAAACACAAAACTATTTTTAAAATAGTTAATATTTTCTTTAACCATCTTTGGAATTTTATTTTTAAGTTTTAATAATTTAACGGAATTTTTGAGTTTTTATTTGTTACTTTTCACCGAGTTTGATTTGAAGTAAAAATAATATAATGAACGATTAATCTATACGAGTAAAGTAAAGATATTTCTATGAAATCAACGTTGTTGTTTTTTTTTACGGAATATTAATAAAGTATGAATAAACTTGTACTCTTTTGATTGTTAACCATCATAGTAACCCGTGCGTTTAACGAACAAGTTAGTGCTAACCTTATTTTTATTAATGTGAGCTCAAGTAATTTTGAATAAAAAAAAAGTTTATACGTTTTGCAAATAACATTTTAACTTTCAGTATTATATTTGTACTTATAACTAAGGGGTAACTTTTTGTGGCTCAGTAAAGTTTGATATCTTCGAGCTGACGGAGATTAATATTTCAGGGTGATTCTGGAGGGCCACTGATGTGGGAAGCTCCAAATCGACGATGGACATTGGTCGGTATTGTTTCGTGGGGTATTAGATGTGCTGAGCCCAAATTTCCAGGAGTTTACACTAGAGTCACCGAATTTCTAGACTGGATCAGAATGAATTTGTCTTAACAAACCAATGGTAGTTGTCTATTAAAACCGATTCTTTGTTGAATAAATCTCCTCCTCGTTAATAATATTCTACTTCAACATTGGTTTCGTTTCTGATAATCTTACACGGGGTTGTCTAGCCTACTCGTCCCTGATTTTAAACTGAAAGGCTAGAGGGAAGGCAGTTAGTCAACAGCACCCAACGCCAACTCTTGTGCTACTCTTAACGAACATACGGTTTAGAGCGATTTATATAAATATTTATATATTTATCTTGTGGCAACTGGGTAGTAATCAACTGACCAATAACTATTTTCTTAAAGATTAACTTAGAAAACTTTTTTTTTTCTGAGCGCAACTATTTTTCATGACTGTAGGTCACTGTAGCTTTACAGTATTATACTTGTTTTATACAGGTCACTGTAGCTTTACAGTATTATACTTGTTTTATACAGGTCACTGTAGCTTTACAGTATCATACTTGTTTTATACAGGTCACTGTAGCTTT